ACGAATAAATAAAAAAATTTCAATCATCTCCAGCAGATACAAGCTTAGCATGTTTAACTTCTCTTCATAAGACAACACACCCATTCCAGGTATTAGTCTAGTAAACTTTCTTTAAACTGATTCCAATTCATTCACATTTTTCCTTAAATAAGGTGGCCAATACAGTACACTGTACTCCAAAAGTGCTCTTATCAGTGTCCTGTATAGCTGAAGCATAACCTCCAATTTTTGAACTCAATTCCCTTTGCAATGAATGATAACATTATATTAGTACTCCTAATTCTTTACTGTACCTGCATACTAACCTTTGCTATTCATTCCCAAAGATACCAATTCCCTCCGTAATCTCTCACCATTTAGATAAGATGCTTTTTTCTTCTTTATGATAAAATGGACAACATCACATTTTATGACATTATATTCCCATTTGCTAGATCTTTGCCCACTCACTTCAAGTATCTTTCTCTACCCTCCTTATGTCCCCTTCACAACGTATTTTCCTACTTATCTTTGTGCCATCAGCAAATTTGGCAATGATACCTTCTGTCCCTTCATCCATGACATTTATACAAATTAACTATAAACAGAAGTGATCTTTGTGGCACACCACTCATTACGTCCTGCCAACCTGAAAGAGCTGTATTTACATGCTGTCTGCTTCCTGTTAGCTATCCAACACTTTATCCATGCCAATATGGAGCCCCCTTCATAATGAGCTTTTATTTTCAGCAACTATCTTCCTGTGGCACTTATTCAAGAATGGAGCAAGAGATAAACCAAAAGACTATAGGCCAGTCAGTCTAACCTCAGTGGTTGCGAAGCTACTGCAGCAAGTCTGAGGGACAGAATTAATCTGCACTTGAAGAGGTGGGATTAATCAAGAACAGTCAGCCTGTTTTTATTAAGTGGAGAACAAGTCTGACCAACTTGATTGAATTTTTAGAAGAGATAACCAGATGTGTAAATGAGGGCAATGCAATCAATGTAGTCTACTTGAACTTCAGCAGGGCTTTTGATAAGGTCCTGCATGGCAGACTGATAGTGAAGGTAACATCCCATGGCATCCAAGGAAATTCAGCAAATTGGTTTCAGGGTCAATAGGAAGCAGAGGATGACGATCAAAGAGTGTCTTTCTAACTGGAAGTGTGTCCAGTGGGGTTCCACAGGGATTAATATTGGGGCCGAAATCTCTACAGTGTATATAAATGATTTAGACTTGAAGGTGGGAGGATTCATCAGTAATTTCACATATGATACAATTGGTGGGATGGTAAACAGTGAGTAACACAGCCTTAGATTAAAGGAGGATAAAAAAGGGCAGGTCAGGTGGGCTGATCAGTGGCAAATGGAATTCAACTCGGATAATTGTGAAGTGATGCATTTGGCAGGACAAACAAGGCAAGGGAATATATGATGAAGTGTAGGACCCTGGGAAGTGTTGAGGATCAGAGGGGACTTGGTGTGCATGTCCACCAATCCCTAACGGTACCGGGAGAGGTAGATAAAGTGGTCAAGCAGGCGTACAAGATACTTGCCTCTAGTAGCCAAGGCACAGAATTTAAGAGTAGGGAGGCTATTCTGGAATAATATAAAAAGTTGGTTGGCTACAACTAGAGTATTGTATGAAGTTCAAGATTCCACATTATAGGATGAATGTGATTGCACTGGAGGGGGTGAAAAGGAAACTTACCAGAAGGTCACTGGAGAGTTTTAGTTATGAAGAGACATTGGATAGACTTAATTAGTTAGTTAGTTTCACCAGCGAACGCTCAGGCAGTGAAGAGGAGGAGCATGGGTGAGTTGAAAAGGTTTACAAAAGTCTGTTGGGGGCAAGCAGTTATTAGTTTCACTAGCGACTGTCCTGGCAGTGAATAAAAGGGAGGCAGGATCTAGCAGAGCAGCCATTTTTGAGAGGGGCTGCTTTGAAGTTGAAGTACTGCTGAGGAGGGTGAGCAGCAACAAGGTAAGAGCAAGGTAAATACTTTTATTTCCAAGTCAGCTAGTTGTTAAGGGGGCAGAGATGGCAGTCAGTGGAGTGGTATGCTCCCCTGTCAGATGCACGAGATCAGGGAGCAGTTGAGTGTCCCCGGTGATTATGTCTGCAGCTCCTCTCAGACCAGATGGATCGCTTGGAGCAGTAGTTGGGCACACTGAGGAACATACAGGAGGCAGAGAGTGTGACAGGTAGTAGCTGCAGGGAAGTGGTCACACCACAGGATTGTCAGATAGATGGGTCACTGTAAGAAGAGGTAGGCAGGTAGCGCAGGAGTCTCCTGTGGCTATCCCCCTCTCAAACAAGTATACCACTTTGGATATTGTTGAGGAGGATAATCTCCCAGGGGAAAAATAGCAGCAGAAGGCGGGTCTGTGACACCACAACTGGCTCTGCTGTAAAATAGGGCATGGCAAAGTCCAAGCAAGAAATTGTGAGAGGTGACTCTCTAGTCAAGGCCACAGACAGGTGTTTCCATGGCCATGAGCAAGATTCCAGGATGGTGTGTTGCCTCCCTGGTGCCAGGGTCAAGGATGTCTCAGAGTGGTTGCAGCAATTTTTCAAAGGGGAGCGTTGAGAGGCCAGAGATGGTTGTGCACATTGGTACCAATGACATTGGTAGAAAAAGGGATGAGGTCCTGCATGGTGAATATAGGGAGTTTGGGAAGAGGTCAAAAAGCAGGACCTCAAGGGTAATAATCTCTGGAGTATTCATGGTTCTAGTGATAGTGGGAACAGGAGGATAGGGCAGATGAATGCATGGCTGAGAAGCCTGTACAGGGCAGGGATTCAGATTTTTGAATCACTGGGATCTCTCCTGGGGTAGAGGTGATCTGTACAAGATGGACTGGTCGCACTTCAACTAGAGGGGAACCACTATCCTGGCAGGGAGATTTGCTGGAGCTACTTGGGAAAGTTTAAACTAGTCTGGCAAGGGAATGGGACCCTAAACAGTCATCTGGTAAAACAGAAGTTTCAGTTTAGTACGGAAGTTAAAAAGGGCAAGTTAAATAGACAAGGCAGGCAGAAACATGGCTGGGAACAATGGAAGACTAATTAAACTGCATTTATTTCAATGCAAGAGGCCTGACAGGTAAAGCAGATAAACACAGGGCACTGATGGCAACATGGGATTGGGATATCATAGCTATTACAGAAACATGGCTGAGGGAGGGACAGGACCGGCAGCTCAATGTCCCAGGGCATAGATGCTATAGGAAGGATAGAAGGGGAGCAAGAGAGGAGGGGGAGTGGTGTTTTTGATTAGGGGAAAAAAAATTACAGCAGCACTTAGAAAGGATATTCCTGAGAGATTGTCCAGTGAGGTTATATGGATGGAATTGAGAAATAAGGAGGTGATCACTTTGTTGGGATTGTACAATAGGCACCCACCTAGGAAATTTAGGAGCAAATATGTAGGGAGATTGCAGATAGCCGTAGGAATAATACAGTTGTAATGGTAGGGGATTTTAACATTGCAAACACAGGCTGGGACTGTCATTGTGTTAAAGGACTTGGATGAGTAGGAATTTGTTAAGTGTGTTCAGGAAAGAATTCTCAACAATATGTAGATGGCCCTATAGAGAAGGGGCAAAACTCAACCTCCTCTTGGGAAATAAGACATTTTGTTGGTATTAGACAAGAACTTTCAAAAGTTGATCCGGGGATGCTATTCGCTGGGCCAGTAGGCCGAGGAATGGCAGATGGAGTTTAATTCAGACAAATGCGAGGTAATTCATTTTGGTAAGACAAACCGGGGTAGGACTTATATAGTTAATAGCAAAGCTCTTGCGAGTGTTGTCAAACAGAGAGATCCAGAGGTGGAGATACATAGTTCCTTGAAAGCAGCATCAGAGGTAGATAGGGTGATGAAGAATGCATTTAGCATGCTTGCCTTCATCAGTCAGCGCACTGAGTACAGAAGTTGGAAATTAGTAAGACATTGGTAAGCATATATTTGGAGTTCTGCATACAATTCTGGTTACCCTGCTAAGGGAAGGATGTTATTAAACTAGAAAGAGTGCAAAAAAGATTTACAAGGACGTTACTGAGACTGGGAGGTTTCAGTTATAAAGAAAGGCTGGATAGGCTGGGACTTTTCTCCCTGGATCATAGGAGGTTAAGGGGTGACCTTGTAGAGATTTATTAAAACCACGCAATGGACACAGAAAATAAGATGAATAGCCAAGGTCTTTTTCCCAAAGGGGAGCCCAAATCTAGAGGGCATAGGTTTAAGGTGAGTGGGGAAAGATATAAAAGGGACCTCAGGGACGACTTTTTCACTCAGAGGGTGGTGTGTATATGGAATGAGCTGCCAGTGGAAGTGGTAGAAGTGGGTACAATGGTCCATGGATAGGAAACATTTAGAGGGATATGGGCCAAACGCAGGTAAATGGGACTAGTTCAATTTTAGAAAACTGGTCAGCATGGACAAATTGGGCCAAAGGGCCTGTTTCTGTGCTATATACCTCTTTGACTGGGGTTGCTTTCCTTGGAGCAGAAGAGACTGAGGGGGGACATGATTGAGATGTATAAAATTATCTATGTTATATGTTCTATGAGTGGCATAGACAGGGTAGATAGAAACTTTTCCCCTTGGTGGAGGGATCAATGACCAGGGGGCATAGACTTAAGGTAAAAGGCAGGAGGTTTAAACAAGATGCGAGACTTCTTTTAACACCATAGGATGAAGTCCATCAAGACACAGACCTGGGCACTAATCAGCCTGTTGCTCCCGTAATCTGTTCTGAAGAATCGTCCCATCAGACGTGAAACATTAATTATATTTCTCCACAGATGCTGCAAGACCTGCTGAGTTTCTCCAGTATTTTCTGTTTTTATTTCCAACAGTTTACTTAGCATCACTTCACTTCTGAGATTCCAGCATACTTCCATGTAATACCCAATTAACTGCCTTTTAATATAGCTCTAACATTTAGACTATATCAAGGTAAAGTATTATGATAATCATTGCAGCATATGAAATACCTGTAAAGGATAAGTTTACCTGATGAACCACCAGCCCTCCAGGTTTCTCTGTATGACCTCCACCACGACGCCTTTCTCAAAGCCAATCTCATCTTTGCCCTGGTTGACATATGGCTGTACAGTGATGTACTTCTCCTCTAACACAAATAAATATGACAGTAATATTAGACAAACCATTTTCAAACTATCTCTCAGAGACATAATTATCCAAAATTGAGATTGAACGTTCGGAAGTCAATTTCGATAGCGATGACAAGCTGCTAGATCAGAAACTCCAAAAATTCATCCATTGTGTAGGTTAAACTTGAATTATTCAATCTTTCATCTTAAACAAAGTAAATAATCCAATATAATGATGAGAAACTGAATCGTTAGTTGAGTTTCACATTAGGGAAAAACAGTAGATGTAATATTTTTGGATTTCCAAAGGCATTCAATTAGGTACCACACATAAGACTACTTACTAAGAGTTGAAGGTTGTATATTAGCATGGATAGAGAATTGCATAACTAATAGAAGACAGACAGTTAGGATAAATAGTGCATTTTTGGGATGGCGACCTTTAACTAGTGGAGAGACACAGGAATCAGTGCTGGGGCCACAATATATATTCATGACTTGGGTGAGGGAAGTGAATGTATTTTAACCAAATTTGAAGATAGCTCAAAAATATGTTGGAAGGCAAGCAGTGAGGCTGCGAAGAATATTGATAGGATGAGTGAGTGGGCCAAAACTTGGCAGGTGGAATATATTGGGGAAAAAAAAAGGTTATGAACATTAGTAGGAAGAATGGAGGAGCTAAATGTAATTTAAATGGAAAATATGCTGTAGTTTTCAGCAGTCTCCAGGATTTGGGGGTCCTTGGGCATAAATCACAACAGGCTAGCATAGGAGTTCAGCAGGTAATGGGGAAGGCAAATGGAATGTTGACCTTTATTTCAAAAGAAATGACATATAAAAATAGGGAAGCTATAGTCATGGAGTCATGGAGCACGGAAACAGACCCTTTGGTCTGACCAGTCCATGCCGAACGCAATCCCAAACTAAACTAGTCCCATCTGCCTGTTCCTGGTCCATAACCCTCCAAACCTTTCCTATTTGTGTACTTATCCAAGTATCTTTTAAACGTTGTAACTGTGCCCACATCCTGAGAAAGTTCATTCCACAAGCGATCCACTCTGTGTAAAAAATTTGCCCCTCATGTCTTTTTTAAATCTCTTTCCTCTCACCTTAAAATGTGCCCCTTAGTCTTGAAATTCCCCATCCTAGGAAAAAGACACCTACCATTACCTTATCTATAAACCTCATGATTTTTTCTTGCTAAAACGATACAAGGCAGTTTTCACAGCATACCTTGAATACTGTGAATAGATTTCATCCACTTTTCTAAGGCCCAAATTTCCATAGATGCTAAGACATAGAATCAAGCTAATCTATGCATGCACGTTTCAACTCTACTCAAACTGCCTTCTATAACTTCTCATCTAAACCTAATCATATCATCAACTCCTGTCTCCCTCAAATGCTTGTCCAGCTAAGTGCACATACGCTATTCGTTTGAACTGCTCCTGAAATAGTAAATTCTACATTCTTACCACTCTATGCATAAAGATGTTTCTTCTGAATTTCCTCTAAGATTTTAGTGATTATCTTGTATTGATAACCTCCAGTTTCACTCTTCTCTCCAAGAGGAAACACTGGGACAAATCTTATGCTTTTTTAGCTCAGTCCAAGCTGTGTTGAGGTTTTTGGAGGGGATTTCACTGTGAGGCCTAACACATCTTCTCACTGTATGTTACCAAATTTTCCTCATTAACTACCTATCCCACCTCTTTAGTATCTGTCATGTCTGACTCCAGCCTCGTGTTACCATGTGCCATTCCCAGAACAACTTGACACTCTGCAGATACTGCCAAAAGATCAGCTGCCTTGTGTCTACGTCATCTTTAAAAGCAGCTATGCACCTGGTGGAGCATTGGCATTTTAAAGCTGCCCTGCTCGGTCAGAGATGTATCCAGAGGATGTAGGAGGAGGGTAAAATGGCATACGATTCTCTGATAGGACCTGGCTATCCTGGTCATGGGTGTGTGCAAAGGAAAGAAGTCCTTTTCCTGGAGTGCAGGCAGAGGAGGCAAGCCACCAGACCCTGGGTCAGTGCCATCTTAATGGTTGAGAGGTGCAGCCGGCAGCATCGTAATACAATCAATGACTGTCTCTCCTGCACAAGAATAAAGTGCTACATTCCCCTCTCTGCTACCTCACTCTCACTCTATGTCTGCCACTGCAACCCCACTTCCCGCACAAGTTCATGCTCTGCTATTCTCACTGCTGTAGAACAGCCACATGCTTAGTCGGAGGAAGGAAATGACCCTGTTGTGTCAGCAATTAGGGACTTTGTCCACATGCAAAGGGAGGAACAGGAGCGGCCGATTGGTGTGTGGGACACAATGGCTGTTATTGCCCAGAAGCTGCAGCAGTGCAGTGAGTCATAAAATAATCTGGCTGACTGCAGAGAAGTGCATACACCTGTGTGCCAGGACCCAGCCATTGATTTTCACGCTCAAAGGCATGGTGAAGGTAGACACTCCAGATGCCCATCCTCACAGGGAGACAGAACAATGCCAAAAGGCACCCAGCCAAAGGACAAACCACACACAGCCCCCTCAGTAGACTCCACTCAGCACGCTCCAAAGGTAGCCAGAATCTCCAACTCCACTATATGTGCCTCTCTGAACTTTAGGAGTTGAAGCCAAGAAAGGTCCATTTGAAACTGTCAAGAAAGTCCTTGACATGTCTGGCCTGTCCAGAAACAAGAGCCTCCAGATCGCCTGACAAAACCTTCAGGGCCAACAAGCCCATTGCCATGCTGGTTCCCTCCATTCTAGCTGCAGAATCAGGGTTTACACCCTAAGACATAGTGAGAGGAAGTGGAAAATTTACTTAGGGCACTTTGGTGGCACAAGTGACAATGCACTATATGTTGCATGGCACATTTCTCTAAACAGCATTGCTCTGACATTACATTTGTTTCATTAAAAGTCTGTATAGCCACGATTGTGACTCTTTCAGAATAAGGCATAATTTCATGGCCACACAGGCTGTTCCCTGGAATGATGTCATGTTGACAGTCTGCAGCACCATCTATAAGTGAGTGGCATACACAGGATAATGGGTCCTGCTGACATCCTATACTTTCCCTGGCCTCTGAGTGAAAGGTTTTGGTATGAATGAGTTGGTCAGTGATGTATGGGGCAAGGAGCTGCACAGCAACTGGCAGTCAATGCATTAGGAAGGCCAGGGATTAGGGATCCTGCAGGTCTGTTCATGTACTATGCATGTGCATAATGGTGTTTCCTTTTAAAACTTTTGTTTTATTGTTAAAACTGAATCTGCAGGCCATTCTTCTGGGAGATGGGGATGGGAATCAGTGAATCAGGTAGGAAAAGGGACGAGACCCTGAAGGCAGAACTAAATGGGCTAGGAAGGAAATTAAAAAACAGGATCTCAAAATCAGTAATCTCAAGATTATTCCACGCCATGTGCCAGACAGCATAAAAAAAGGATTGAACTATTGAATATGTAGCTGGAGAATAGGTGCAGGAGGGAAAGCATCAAACTTGTGATGAATTAGGACCTGATACACTTGCGGGGAAATTTGCTGGTGCTGTTCGGGTGGGTTTAATCTAGCTTGTCAGAGGGATAGAAACCTGATGGGTAACCCAGATTGGAAGGATGTAAAGTTGGTAACAAGAAATCCAAAAAATGCTAGGGAGACTAGAGCACCGAAGAAATTAAAGCGAGCAGTGAGGATGCTTCAAAAGCAGAATGATGTCAAAAAGACAAAGCTAAGGACATTCTAACTGAATGCACACAGCATTTGTAACAAGGTAGATGATTGAAAGACTCAAATGGAAATACAAGAGTATGATCTAATTGTCATTATTGAAACATGGTTAAATGGTGAACAGGACTAGGAACTGAATATTCAATGATATTCAATATTCACCAAACTCCAATGGGTGCAGGACCAATGTTTCCAACCTTTCTTCCAATGTTTCCAAAGATAAGGCCTGAACCCCAGTGTCAGCTGAATGAACCTCCGCTGAATTGCTTCCAGCATAATTATATCCTTTCCTAAATAAAGTGACCAAAACTGTACACAATAGTGCCTGATTGGCTGCAGGGAAACGTTCTGACTTTTATATTCCATTTCCTCTTAAACAATATGCTGCTTTTCTATTGTTCCAGCCAAAGTGAGCAATTTCACATTTTCCTACATTATATTCCACCCAAAATTTTGGCAATTATTGCAGAAGGAATAGAGTTTAAAAGTATAAAAATGTTGCTGCAACTGTACAATGCATTAATGAGACTACCTCTGGAGTATTCATACAATTTTGGTCCACTTACTTGAGGAGGTATTGTTGGATTGTAGGCAGTTCAGAGGTGAATCACTAGTTTGATTCCACAGATGAGGGGTTTGTCTTATGAAGAGAGATTCAACAGTTTAGGCATGTGCTCTCTGGAGTTTAGAAGAATGAGAAGACATCTAAATTATGTATCTAAGATGCTAAAGGGGATTGACAAAGTAGATTTAGAAAGAATGTTTACTCATGTGGGGAAATCTAAAACGTGAGATCATAATTTTAGGATAAGGGATATCAGATTTAAAACAGGAGGAGAAATTACTTCTCTTAAAGGATCATGAACTGGTGGAATTCACTACCCAATAGTGCTGTGAATGCTGGGATAGACAGGTTCTTAATTAGCAATGGTTTGAAGGGTTATAAAGAGTGGGTGGGAAGGTGGTGTTGAGGCTGAGATGAGATCAGCAATTATCATATCAAACAGCTCAGCTCCCATTTCTTATGTTATACCTGACAGTTTTTTGCCACTCAATTAACATACTTTATTTGCTTTGCAGACTATATGTCCTCTTCACAACTTACATTATTACCTATCTTTATGTAAGTTTAACAGCAATCCAGTTCCTTCATCCAAATTATTAATATAAATTGTAAATAGTTGAGGCCCCAGCATTGATCCTTTGAGACTTAACTAGTTGATAGCTCGCCAACTCAAAAGTTACACATTTATGAGGTTAAGATTTGCTTACTGAACCGGTGGGTTTGATTGC